GTTTTAGTTCGATAAATTCAATGCACAGAAAGGATTAATTAAAGTATAGCTGATGTTCTTACTTGTACTGCAATTTATGCTGCTGATAGTATATAATACTAAATTTTTTTCTGTGGAAAATATGAAATGTATATACAGGAAATTGTATTTTCACCATTGTCATCATAAATAAGTCCATAATATGTAGGTGGATCATAAAATGATAGTGAAGAAATTCTCAGGAAATGATTTGATGGCAGATTAATTTGCCTCCAGCTGAATTGCTGAATTGATGAAGATTCATTTTCTTAAAAAGGAACATCAGGGTTATGATATACACAATGTAAGAATAGTATGAGAATTTACACAAAAATTTGGTTATAGTAACAACACAACTATCGGTTACTTGCCTCATTTAATGTGTTAACTCTGAAGTGACCGCAACTATATTTTTCTCATTATTCGCGATGATATATTCGCCAATATTCTCATAATGGCTTATTAGACCATAAGATGTAATATTATATAGTAAAAGTATATAAATATGTTTAAAAAAAGAATTGTGAATTCGTATGATTGAAACTTGTATGTTTTTGAACATAGGATTGCATACCTGGAGTAACAAGCACTAAAAATAACAAATAATCCAATGTTCTATTTTTCTGAGAAGTTATCACAGTTATATCTATCAGCGACTGTAGATTGATTCTTTCCAATAGCGTGTTTCAAACATTCGTTAATAAAATTATACCTTGTCAGAATAGTTTTCATACAATCTCACTTTATTTACTTGGTATGATATTGAATATACTTCTTAAGTGTTTTAGACAGCTTAAAGTTTGAGAATCAAATTGTTTGTATAGTTTTTTTTTTTATTGAAGATTGGAACAAGACACTGCCAATATGTTACTCAAAAAATCTTTAACTGTGACGCACGAATAAGTAGATAGTTGTGATAGTTGCTTTTACAAAATGAAAGATTTTGAATCAAACCAGAAGCATCTATAGTATTTTTATTTATTCATTTTGATTCAAACAAATACATCGAATCTACTTTATAATTTTTAATTCGTTTATAGGCTTTAAAGAGATAATAGTTTGAATCTCAAACTTAAGAAGTACTTTATCTTTAAGAAACGCGAATTTCACAATTCTATGTTTTTGCATGTAATTTATTCTACACTTAATGTTATTACTGTCTTTTATGGATGCTGTAAAAATTCAATCATAC